CCCAGTACTCCATCGCCCTCCCCGCGCCCGTGGTGCCGCAGGACAGCGCTGGGAAGCGGGGACCCCCCCATGGCATGGCTGAACCCCCCTCCCCAGTGAGGTGTGGGGCAGAGATGCTCCGAGCCCCCGCACCCTGCGGGGACCACTGCAGCCCCAGCTCCCGCTGTGCCCATAGCAGAGCCAGACCATGGGGCTGCCCTCCCTGGGGGCTGCGGGCACAAAAATCCACCCCTGCCCTATTCCCAACGGCTCGGCGGGGTGAAGGGAGGAAAAGCTCTTACAGCTCCTTGATCTGCTGCCCGTCCGTCAGACCGGTGCCCTCGGCCAAGAACACGCAGTTGTTCAGGGGGACTGCGAAGGGGTTCACCAGGCTGATCTCCGCCACCAGCTTCCGCTTCTGCATCGGCTCCCCTAAAATCTGCAAGCAGGCAGGGTTGGAACCCCAGCGCCGCCCTGCCTGGGGGCCCACCATGCTCCCCTCGCCCTGAACGTGCCGGGGCGGAGGCAGGTCCCTGGGGATGCAGGTCCTCGGGGATGCAGCTCCACTCGGTGACGCAGGACCTGCTGCCCAAGCCCTGCTGTGGTGGGGTTGCCCCAGGGCTTGGATCACCGCGACCAACCCTGCAGGGTGACTGCAGCACCTTCCCCTGTGAATGGGAAATGTCCCCCAACCCCAAACCCACCTGGGACAGAGCAGCTGAGCCCTTACCCTGATCTTGATCTCCGGATTCTGAATGTAGACATCCCTGACTGCCACGATGACGTCACCGGTTTGGTATTCGGTCAGGAGAGCCACCACCTTGATGAGGTTGTCCTGGGTCAGGATCTCCCCGTACTTCTCATACAGGATCCGCAGGGGCACTCTGTGTTCTGGAAGGGGAAGTAGAGCGGGGTCAGAACTCGCCCCTTCCCCAACCCAGTGCCTGCGGCCCCGTGCTGGTACCCGCTTGGTCTGCGCTCCTCAGGAGCTTCTCCAGGCTGGGAAAGTCTTGGGGGAGCTGGGGTTCCCCCAGCACTGGGGACACCCCTGTTGGGAAGGGGTACGGCAGGGTGGGTGGGCACCATGCACTGCCCGCTGGAGCACCCGTGGGCAAGCCCGTGCTGGGGGGGCATCTTGCCCAACTGCTTCCCCCAAGAAAATGGGTTATATTTAGCTGTCATCAACCCCCAAATTGCCGGCGTTTCCCAAATGAGCTGCAGGCACCTGCAGCTGGTTGCCAGATGCCCAGCTGGGTCCTCAGGGTGCTGCCGGGGTGCCGGGTACCAGTGCTGCTCCCACCCATGCAGGGATGCAGGGCTGCGGGTACCCGGCTCGGAGTGGTGGGGAGGGACCTTGCAACCCGGCCAGGGCTCCACAACCAGGTGCCAAAAGTGATGTTCGGGGCTCGGGGAGGGGAAGGAGCCATGTGTCGGGGCAGGACCCCGGGGCTGCACCTGCACCGGGTCCCTGGAGGGGCTTCACCAGTCCTTCGCAGCCAGTGCTGGTAGGCAGCCCCGCTCCCCGGCAGCTGCTCTCGCTCAGCTCTGAGCATTGTTTATCCCAAAGCCCTTCAGGGACTGGGCTGTCTTGTGCTGAGGGGGGAAGAAGGCTGAAGGCATCCAGCTGCAGAGCCGTCACGGGGAAGGACTTCAGAGAGGCCGTGACCGCTGGAAGCAAAGCCCGGCATAGCCGGGGCAGGACGTGAAGTGTTGGAGCATCGGCTGAGGCTGCGGGAAAGGGATGGACCCAGCACCGCTCCGGCTGGGCTCCCTGTGCCAGCACGGAGTGTAGGGGCTCCCTAAAGGCTGCAATTTCAGGGGTCCTGGGGTCTGTATTCCCAGGCAGGACCTGGAGGTAGAATCTTCAGGAGCTCATAATTAAAGTCACAGAGAAAATGATGTTGGATGAACTTGTGGATGGGAATGTTAAAGACCCTAAAGGCCAGCAGGGCCCCTCCAGTGGGCCAGGCAATGCATGGGCTCCGCTGTCCCCATCCAGCCCCGCAGCAGAAGGCTCCAGAGCTGCTCTGCAGGCACTCGCAGGTGCTGGTACCCACCAGTGCCCACACCGCGGGGAGGCTTTGCCACATGAGCAAAAGCAGCGTCCCACTTCCCTCTGCAGCGCTGAGAGCGGGCACGTTTGTTATTCCCTTAATGCAGCTCGACAAATAGCAGCGAGCCGAGTGCTGCATTTGTTACGGGCCCTATTAGAAGAGCAGATCTTGTCTTAGATTAACAATTAGGCTGTTCCAGGACAGCAGATGTATTGCGTTCCCAAGCCCTGAAGGGTCTGTGGAAAACTGACATAAATCAAAACTCTTGTTTAATTACCAAGAGGTAATGCTAATTTGTAACAAAGGCTAATGAAGGTTCAGCGGCCCACGCCAGGACAGCTCTGTGGCGAAATGCTGTGAGATGTCGTGCCTACCCAAGGAGGAGGCGCCGAGAGCTTCAGCGCTGCTGCCACCAGCCTGGGACCGCGCTATCGGAGCTGAGCCGGGGCCAGTCCTGCTCTCCCTGCCTCTGGGAAAATCCTGCGGCAGAGCCCAGCCCAGCCCAGCGCCGGCTCGCTTCGAAGCAGAGGCGTACGGAAGAGCAAGAGAGGGATGCTGACGAGTGCAGCAGAGCGCCCTGGGATGCGCGCCCCGCGATGCGCACAGCTTGCTCCCTCGGCGTAACGGATGCAACGGCAGTAACTTTTGTCCTCTCTAAATGCATTTCCAGCCCCCTGCCTGAGCAATGTTCTTCCATCAAAGATTAAAAATCCGCAGTGGTAGATAAATAAGGACGAAGCCCTGAAGGAGGGAGGCATCGCTGGCCACGCAGCCTTGTGACGGAGCTGCAGCTCGCAGAAGCCCCCGCCAGCCTGGGGCTTTGCCCACCGAGGCAGTCGCTGGTGAATGGGGGTGACGCGGCACAGGGCTGCCGGATGGATAAACACCCCGGCACCGGCTCTGGGCGCTGGCTGTCCCCACCACCCAGCCCCAGGCCATGCTTTAACGCTGCTGTTATTCCACAGGATTAAACAGAAACCTCCGATCGCTGCCCCACGCCAGCCCGCAGTGTGACAACCTCGAGAACCGGCAGCGGTGGTGGTACAACTGGAAGGGACAGAACCCCTGCAGTGCTGCGCAGTGCCAAGCTGGAGAAGCGAAGAACCCAGCCCTTGGCTCACACCTTGTTTTCAGGGAGGCTGGTGCTGACCCCCAGGTGCTGAGCGGGGCTGCGGGGCTCTGCGTGAGCCGGCAGCCCTTCCCGCTGGTCCCGGCCCCCCGTGGTGACCCCCCCCGACAGGATGTGCCCAGCTCTTATTGCCGCTTGGCTGTTGTGTGTGTGGACTGGGCAGCTGGCGGCCACAACCAGGGTTTCCTCTCTGGAAAGCTGTCAGCGTGGAACCAGGACCCGGCGGCGGTGTCTCCCTCCCGCCGGCTGCCCTGGCCCCTGGCCAGCACCGTGATGCTCTGCTGGGGGGACCCATCCCTGCCCCGGCACCACGGCCTCGCTGCACACCCCAGAGATGCAGCTGAACACGGGAGAATTGCTGACCTGACCCCAGCCCTCACCGCAGCATCCTCTCCTCGCTGCCCGCAGGTCTCTTACCTGCCCAGGGTGCGAGGGTGACATTCAGCAGGTCCTTCATGCCGCACTGGGGCCCGACGGTGCCGTTGTAGCTGGCGGTTCGAGCACACAGCATGAGCCTGCAGACTCGCTCTGTGTCTGAGTTGTTGTTGATGACAGCGAAGACGTCGAAGTCGCAGCCGATGTTCGCGCCCTCTGACAGCTTGATCTTGAGGTGCAGCCCCTCGTCCTCCTCCCTGAGCGAGCTCTTCTCGTGCTCTGCCTTCGCGAACACTTCTCTCTCCTTTTCAGACCCTGCGGTGCACGGAAAAAAATGTGATTCCCTGGGTGGATACAGGGAGGGTATGGTCCGGGCTGCTTTGCCCCAATCCCTGGAGCCCTCCTGGTGCAGCTGCTGCCTTTATTAATCGTTCCCCCACTCTGTTTCCCAATAGCTGACCCCCTCCAGGGTGTCTCTGCCCTCTCTGCTGCCCCGTACCCTCTGGGTACTTGTAGGTGTGGGTGATGTCCTCCCTGCTGTCCCTGCCCACGCTCTTGGTGCTGATGTTCTTCCCCACGACCGAGGAGTGGGTACTTTTCTTCTCCGTCCCGTCGTGCCGCACCACCCAGTACACCACATCGGCGTTCACCTCCGCGAAGACGAAGGGAATGTCATACTTCAGCTGCAGGTCACCCTCCTTGATGGCTCTGACGGGGGCCGGTCCGCAGCAGAAAACCCCTGCAGGGAGCGGAACCACCGTCACCACCCGGTGTTTGGCCACCACAGGGGCCAGACACAGTTGCAGTGGGGGGGGCCCCTGCCATGATGGGGGCGTGGGGTGGGATGGAGCACCCGCGTGGTGCACGCTGTACCTTCGCTCTTCTCCTGGGGGGTCGGGTCCAGCGCCTGCCACCCATCGTAGCCAGGTGCTAGGTCCGGACGAGCCATCCAGGATTCCACCCAGCAGTGGAAGTTCCTGCAAAGGGAAGCCAGGATGTAGGGGCTTCAGCCTCCCCCAGCACCCACCGCTCCCTGGGCAATACAGCCCCAGGGGTGGGAAGCCGGTGGGCCTGCCGTGCCACTCACCAGATCATGTCCCTGGAGCGTCGGTCCTCCTCCCCCATCTCGTTGAGGTAGCGGTCGATGATCAGGTTGCCGTTGGTGTCGTGGGCTGAGTTGTAGTTGGTCACCACCCGGCTGGGGATCCCCAGGCACCGCATGACTGCGGGGAGGCAGGGCAGGGTGAGACGGGGACCGGGGTTTGCACGGCTCCCGTCCCACGGCGCCCCGCGTTTGCACAGCTCCCATTCCATGGACCGCGGGTTTGCACGGCTCCTGTCCCATGGAACCCCGGGTTTGCACAGCTCCTGCCCTTCCCTTTCCCCACAAAGAGCTGCCCGGAGACTCATCCCCAGGACCAGCCGTCTCCTGCAGTCACCGTGGGACTCCACATGCGAGACGGGTGGCACGCGGCACTGACAGTCTGTCGGGTTTTGATATTGCAGTAGAAAAAAGGCACAAAAGCGGCTGCGAGTGCTTTTGAAGGAGTGCATGGGCAGCAGCGCGCTGCAACCTCTTATTTAATCTCACAGCTGCCTTTTACTGCGAGCGGAGCTCCCTGGGGAACAGGGAGGTAGTTATAATGCTTCAAAGGAAGGCTATAAACTTCTGAGAGTCGCGGAAAACCCACTTTAGTTTTCTGCTATTTCTCTCCTCTAAAAAGGATCTCGTATATATCTGTGATATATAAATGCACATGTGTGCTCGTGCAACCCCACAAGCGCGGCGCGGCGTTTTTTCTCAGGGCAAAACTGCGTGAGCGTGCAATCGTGTGTGTGTGTGTGTGCGCACGCGTGTGCGCGCTTCTCAACAGAAGTGAGCCTGGAATTTTTTTTCTTCTCTTTTGCCCCAGCTTGACTGCCTCGGTGGCAGTCAATTTTTTTTCGATCTCAGTGGATTCATGACTTTATTGCAAACTTGACCTTAAAGCCACTTTCCTTCTCCGGTTTCGTGAGTCCAGCCCCTCCCTCTCTGCCTGGCCAGGGCACTAACTGAAAAGCCAGAGCCTTTTTCTATATTTTTTTCCCCTCTATTTCCTGACAGATTAGAATAACAGAGCGCTTAATTGCCAAGCAATCATTGCGGGCTGATTGTAATCAGTTCCATCGGTTCCCTCCTGCCGAAGCACAGGGAGCGGGTGGAGGGCAGGGGGTGGGAGAT